TCAAGTATGGCTTTTTAAATTCAAAAAAAATATATACAATATGTTTTTAAAAATCAAAAAAATATGAAGTTAGAATACAATGCAAATTGAAATGGAAGATTTAATATTAAAATATTTGAACTAAAGTGAAAAATATTAGGGTCCTTTAGAGTCCTTGATTTTAATAAGCATTATTTTCCATAAAGAAAAATATGTTATATTTCCATAAAAAATAGCAATGGGTGAAAATTTGGGTGAAAATGGGTGAAATTTTTAAATTGAATATGAAATACATGAATTTATAATCAACTAAATAGCGTTTTTAAATAATATAACCAAACCAATCTAATCGTTTAAAATTAGTGCGAAAATTGAAATGAAAATTTAGTTAGCCAAATTAAACGCAAGTTAGGTAATAAAAAATGTCATGACATAATTTTAGAATTTAATTATAAGCCCAACGGGGTGGTTTGGCGGTCTATAGCTACTCAAACCGCACACATTTGATCGGGGTTTCGGTTTCAATCAGGTGTGTAATTAGCTAATTAGCTGAACATAACGTGACCGAAATGTTTGGCGTCCTTTTACCCAACTCAAACCACAAATCCCTCACAACTGTCATAAACAAATCACTTTCAACGCTCTCAGGGTCAAGTTCGCAATGGAAAAATATAAAGCAAAACACGTGCAGACAGGCGGCCTTACCTAAATTCTCAGGTGACCTCCTTTGGAACGAAAAAAAAGCTGAGGCCTTGAATTAAAATCTGATTTATCAATTTGTACGTCCTGCTAAGGGAATGTCATTGAAAGTGTCCCAGTGTGCAATCCAAATTTCTATTGATTGCCTTTAGGTCTTAGACTCCTTTTAATCGGTAATTAATGGACTGAACCATTAGAGCATGCAGCAAGAGCGATTTTGTATTACCAAATTATAAGTCATATAAGTGAAGAGCGCATTCATTAGCATTGGCCAGTAAGCCTATTAAGTAATAAGTCCCAAGAAGCATTGATTTGTTAGCAGTTCAACAGGATTCCGAATTGAACTGGCACACCTAGGAACAGGTTTTGTTGAAAGCTTATTGAGGCACATTTTGTGTCGCATATTACCTAAGCGAAATTGAACATTACCCATGCATCAATATTTAAATATACTTAAGAATAATTCATTTAAATTTTGTATGTTTGAAATTAAATTTTAACGATGTTACTAAATAAGTTTTTAAAAATTGTTGTATGTATTTTTGAAAGAAAACATCTGAATTTCAATGTAAAATTTAAAAAAGGTTTAACTTTTGTAACAAATGCATAACGAGTATTTAAAATATATCGGTCATACATTTATGCAACTAAAAATGCGTAGACGACGGATGTATTTTGCGACAGTTTATTGCGTATACGCAACCGAGGCCACTATCTTCTTGGTAAAGCAAATAATCACATGGCAGCGTCCACGACTTTCCGACGAATTTCAGCAAAAATTCTTGTTGTTGATGACGACTTGCAAAGTAGCAGCAGCTGAAAATCTTCCCACCAATAGGTTGAAAGTCCAAAGTTCAAAGCGGAAAACTGTTGCACAGCTCGTGCATACATCAACTGCTTGCGAAACGGCAAACTGCCAGGTAACAAAGGTAACATTTTTCTCTTAGGAATGGTCGCATTCATTTTCGGCACTGCTGCTGTCCTGTTGAATTCTTATCGAATGAGTCAGCGCTGCCCCCACCCGAGCTATATTTAGTATATGCACGACAAAGGGGAAAATGTTTCGAAGGCCGCTGGCGGAACAATAACGAAAGCGAGTGTATTCCATTTGAACAGTTCACCTAAATCCCTGTACGATTAATTAAGAAGCCTTTGGGTGAAGCAACCGCTTTGCAGAATATGCTCCAACCCTTTATTTTTTGCTTTAAGTTATTATATTTACCAACAAATAGCAGCGAGCCTTCCATAAAGAAGTCAATTATAATGTGTACATATTTACGCCGTAATTTGTTTACGCTCAGCTGACTTACAAAAAGTGTAATTGACAGCAAGATGATAAGACGGCTGGGCAATTAATTTGCAGAATCAAATTAAATTAAGGCCTTTTCCAAACCCAGCTTAATTAATTCATCACCATGTCTTTCACATTCGTATTCCCGAATGACAAATTAATGTTAAATGCTCTATAATATAATTGTGTTGTCGACTTAAGAGTGACGAATTAATTTTTATGCACTAAATTGCTGGGAATGTGCCATTGAACTGGTCTGAGAATTTTCAACCTGTTGTCTTGCCATTTTCATAAGAATTTCCACTCCGGAAAGTTGTTCCTTGAAAGTTTAAGCTACGTTTACCTCTTGCTGTTTTTTTCTTTTAAAAGTTTTTTCTTTTGTCCTACAAGCTTACTGCAGATGTTGGATTTTAAGTTTTCAGCTGTTAAACATTTTGTGACCCTGTCATCCAGGATGCATTCTTTAAAAAGTAAAGATTAATATTAGAAAGCAACATTAGTGGCAGCCGTTTATTGAAAAGAGATGAACTCTTAACACTTTAAGAGTATACAAATGTCAAAAACTACAACATTTATTTTTCCTTTTTTACCCCAGCCAAAGTTCACTTTCATGCCAATATATATGGGGATTTATTAGCACTCTCAAAATGATGGCCTCTCCGGTTTCCTGGAAAACTCAATTTTAAATTTGCAGATGTTTGCCAATTGACGCAATTTAAACACGCATACGCACCGTAATCCAAAGCAGACCGTATATTTCAGTTGCGAAGGAATTCGACGGGGAATGACGAGAGGCATAATCCACTCGATAATGGAATGCTGGTAACTCGAATTAATTTTAATTATTAATGTCTCCTGGCACCCAGAAAGAATCATGCAAACAGAAGAAGAAAAAAAACAACGTTGGGAGGGAATAATAATAATTTAAGCATGCTATGTAAATTTACTGTGTGGCCCGGTCTTGCAAATAAAGCTCAACCAGTGGCAGATATAAGAGTTCGGCATCACCTGATGGTATTACCAAAGGCTCTGTCCCAGAACACAGAGCACAACACTCCAACGCTCAAACGAATGGACACACACACAAATAAATCAATGCTGGCTTCTGGCAAAGCACTTGGGGTGCAAAAAGTTGAAATTTATTTGAAAAAGCAGAAAGGAAAAGCTACTATTGTACTTTCACCTGGCTCACCTTTCACCTGTGCCTCAAAATCTTCTTCTAATTCCGCACAAATTAGGCACAAGAGAGCCAAAATTGACCTGAAATCAAATACCAGTCAACATAAATTCAATTGCGAGCATTTTATCAGTTCAAGGTCCTCAAGTTGCTAGGCAGACATTCTACCCTGTATAAGCTGAGTTCCTGGGGCTTCTCAAGTTCCCAACTGCGGTTGAAAGGACAGGAAATTGTGCTTTCTTGCTTTTGAAGAATATTATATCAGAGGAAGACAAATTCCATACCTCTTTTGAGTGGGACTAATTGTTATGCTTTGCGAGAGTTTTTTCTCCAAAAATTGTATGCAAAAGTCTTACTTAGAAGGGAGCAGCTTTAATACCAGATATTTCACAGTCGACAAATGCTGTAAAAACATTCCATTCTTTGGAATGAATTTTTATTGCCCGTAAGTGAAATAATGAAGTGGGAAACGATGCTCAAACCTCTGCAACTCAAGCTTATTTCCTTTGACTAGTCACTAAAATATATATATCGCATGTTTTTATATCGCAATAAAAGAAGAATTTGAAAAATTCAAGCAAATCTGTTTTAAAAAATTTCATTATGGGTCTCATAACATTAAAGTTAAACCTTTGTTGTCTTTTCTTATCTTTTAAATATAAATGAAACTTCAGTTTTATTCAATTTTCCACAGGGAAACATTGTTTGGGAAGTGTGCTCTTAATGTTTACCGATTGCCAAGTAGTTTCGTGAAAGCAAATATTTAAGAGGCATCTGTTTGTTGTTGCTGGGGCAGCATTTCGTATACGCCATGTTGGACGCGCAACTCTAAGCGCAGCGTTTTCACCTATATCGCAGCTAACCAATAACATTATGCACATCCATTGGGGTATACTGCATGGTTGATTACTCGCATTTGATTATCGGTGGTGTACAGAGCCCAGGAGACAGGGATCCCATACTGTCATTCAAATTATATGTCAGCATACAGGTGAAATAGCTGGTGCTCAAACGATTGGAGCCAATGGCAACATGAATGTCTGTATTTTGCAGTCACGAAATCTTTACTAAGACTTCCATTCGATTCATAGAGGTTCAGTTTGGAGCGCTCGGATGCGAAAATACCAATAGATGGATACATCGCTTTGGAAAATGTAACGCTTTTGTTGTCACTTTAATGCGCAATTAGGGGAGGAGAGAAGCCAATGTTGACAAACAAGGCAGCTTGGTACACTCCAAACAATTAAAATGATTTAAAGTTTATTTTATTTAAAATAATTAATCGAAATAGAGTATATAAAATGTACTTTTTGATTGGGGAATATTTGTATTATTTTTTATCATACGAAGTAAACTATTTAATTCCGTTTAAATTGCTATAAGCCAACATTTACTCTTTCGATACTCAAAAATAAATTAAAAAACAGTTTTAACTTTTGTGTGAAATTTAGGCAAAAACTCTAGCGAGTATAAGTGTGTAGTGTAAATAGGTATTTTAAAAAGTCTAAAAAGAAAAGTTAAGTCCAAAAATAATATCAATGCAATTTCGAATTTGTAAAAGGCAAAGTACAGATTTAGCAGCAACCTTTTAGGACTTTCAAAGTGTGTCTTTGTTCTGAGTTCTAGCTCTTAATTTCCTGTTTTTTCGTGTGTAATCTATGGCGACCTATGCTGAATATAAAGCATTCACTTGTTCAATTTTTCACAACGAAAGATGCTCTCTGCTCTCAATGCCATCACAATCATTCCATTAGGTTTGCAAAGAGACCGGGAAGAACGATTGTCAATGCTTTTATCCAAATGAACTTGTGAAACATATAAAATTGATTGATTCAGAATAAAGTATGTGTGCACTTTATAATTCAATGTTCAGACTTTAATTTGTTACTTTTTAGTGAAATCCACGTTGCAATGCTGGCAGCGCCCATTGACGATGGTGTTTCCGCCACGCCTGTATATTGTGGTACCTCCGCCTCCTCGGCCATCGTTTCCCCTGGAAATAACCACATTGTCATTGCTATTCGGCGAGGAGAAGCTGCGGTACTCCTGGCCATCCAAGTAGACGGGTTCCCCATTCGGATTGGGGCCTGGATGGAGTGCATAATTATTCACTGAATTCACTAATGACTGGGCTGGCGAAACAATCGAAACTTACAAGTCAGACAAACGCCGTTGACCACCACTGTGCCGGGATGAGCTGCAAGTGATTATCAATGTATCAATTAGCGTCAGAAGCAGTGGAATATCGGCAAGCTTACCGCCAACCAGAGCCGAAATTAACACCAACGGGAGCAGCACACACGTCAGGTACTTCATATTAAAGCCGATAGATAGATGACCGACTCTCGGCTCTCACGCTGCTTATATAGTCCGGCACTTAGTGCGATTTAAATCTAAAATTTGAAATCAATTTGCATAAGCCTGAATGCTCACGACAGTGCGCTGCTTTCGATTTTTTACTATATATATATATTCCCATAAATTTCCCCCGGGCACTATCAAAACGAATTCAAATGGGATTTTCCAAATATGGTTTGATAAAGCTCGACGTAATGGTTTTCCTTGAACTTCTACAAAAAAATTTATGACAGTCACGCCCAAAAACGCAGTTTGAAAACTATAACCAGACATTCTAAACATGAATGGCAAGCGATTCCAGAGAATCACACCCCCATTTATACATTTATCCATATATCTCAGCGAAACGGGTTTTACTCCCGAAAGTCGTGACTCGTGAGCAGAACGTACAACGTAGCGCCACGTTTGACACTTAAAAATGGGGTTTATACACACAGTTAACCATTAATTACCGAATAATAACACATTTTTCATTTCAAGTTTTTTATAACATGAGATAAAAACAAATGCTCAAAGTTAAAACGCAATTAATTAAATTAAATAAATCTATGTATATATTGGGTATAGACAAAGACTAGTTCTTAGAATGTGTAAAAATTTTGTATATTAACTTTTTATTTTCTGGGTTTTTATCTGAATTTGTTAAATTTTTTAAGAGTTTTAAAATCTTGTATTCGAAATATTTTGACAGTACAACGTAGAGCATCCACTAAATAGCACAACTGACTATCTGGTGAGCTACTAATTGTTTATGAAAGGTATCTGTGGGCAATTCCCTGCTGAGATTAATACTTACGTAGTACTTTGTTTATACTGCGAAAGTTCTTTGAAGCGATAAGGTTTGTTTGGGTTCAGAATCGACATCGCCATCGGAATCGGAATCGGAATCGTTGAGTGCATCGTATATAAGCGGCTGTTGTGGATCGTACCTGGTCCAGACCAGTTCGACGTTTTGATAGACCAGCACAACAATGAAGCATCTGACGGCACTCGCGATTCTCGCTTTTTCTGCTCTCGCTTTAACGGAGGCGGCTGTTTATATCGGCGGTGGCTGCTACGACTGTAAGTAAATCCCCATAAATTTACATTAAATTCTTAAAATGATTTCCACCCCCCGTATGTTTACACGTCAGCAAAAAAAAGCAGTTTAACCTTTGCCACAGTGCAGATATTTGATTAAACGAGTTTTTAAAACGTATCGACCTTGGCGTTTGTCAGCTTAAACAATCAACAAGTAAAAAAAGGGGAAAGTTTTCTTGGAAATTTTTGATGATTTTCACAGTATACAAGGAATTTATATTATTGAGCAGACAGGTCTTTTGAAAATTACGTTCTTCTTGCGAAAAACAAAGCAACAAAATATGGTTTCTTGAAAGACAATTTTTTGTATGCCAGATTCAACATAATGGGATTCTACTTTAACAATAGAATACTAAAAATAAACACCTGATTATTGAATTCAAATTTTTATATTTAACAAAACTAAGTGCATGTTTTAATATTTTAGTTTATGTGGAAAATATTTAATTTAAAAAAGTTCATATTTGATTTAAGTGCATTTAAGTTAAATTAAATTTTTAAACGACAAAATCTACTTCGAAAATAGTCAAGTAAATGAATGAACAATATTTAAATTGAGAACAAAACATTTGGATTTTTTTTTTTTTACCAGTGTCTATATAACTTTTATCTTCTACAAGTCAACTTTAACATTTAGTAATAAGAACTTTAGTTTCTATAGCAATGTTTTTTTTCACTGCTATAAATTTAAATTTGTAAAAGGTGTACATAATCTCGCGGAATTGAGTAACAACATGGAACTTATTTTAATACCACTTTTAGGTAATCCGCCCGGAGGCCAGGGACCCGGAGTCTACACAGGAGTAAATGGAGGAGGTCGTGGAGGTGGAGGCGGAGCTCCCGGAGGAAACTATTACAACAACGGAGGTGGAGGAGGCGGTGGAGGCCGTCGTCCAGTTTATTCCGGCAACTTTGGACCTGGATATAGCAACGGTGGAGGAGGAGGAGGAGGAGGAGGTGGTCGCGGTGGCGGGGGAGGCTATGGCGGTTACGATGATGGCGGGCTAACTCAGATTATAAGCGGATGAGAATATAATCTCAAGGCTTTGAAGCCGCAAAACCCCGCAAATGAGCAAACGTTGGCTGATATTGAGATTTTTCAATTTTATATAGAGTAAAACAAAGAGAAACAAGTAAGGCACGTGTTTACAATATGCACTTATGCTTATCTACGCAGAGAAGGCAAAGCTTTAAAAGTCAACGTTTTAGCTTCTAAAAGAGGGTACATTTTTTTTAATAACTTAAACAAAACATTTTATTATTTTAAAATGTTTTGACCTTGTGTGCTTAAACTGTTACTAGTGCTCTCTGTGTATTTTAAATGTAAAATGCTGCTTATTTAAAAAAAATAAATAAAATAAGAAAAACCGAAAAGGCTTGTATTATTCAATGGCAATCAATGCTAACCACTTTACAACCACTTTAGAACACTCGATATTTATCAATATTAATTATATATTAAATTATCGTTTAAGTGGGTTCTAATGCAAATTGAGCTTATTAATCTCGCTTAAATGGTGTTTATAACATTTCATTCATGTTATAACATAAAACTTTTAACTTATCAGCATAATGGGGGATTTTCATTGTTTTTGGTTGAACCTGCATTAATTACTTTTTAATTTAGTTATTTTAAGTTGTGTAGTGTATTCATATATAAGTTTCCAATTTAAATACAAGCATGATATAACCATCTTTAAAGGGTTCTACCCTGGCCAAAAATTGCTTTTCTCGTTTTATTAACTGCACTTCTCAATTCACATTTTTGCCTTTCACAAAATTCCAGTGGAAATTCACGTCTAGCGCTTCAAAGCCTACAAATCGATTCTGGCTTTTGAGTTGGAACAGAAACTCAAAATACTACGGTAAGAACGAAATTGGAATTGCTAAGGCCCATAAATTGACGAAGGATATTCTATCTGACTTGGCTTTGCTTAAATCGACGAACGATATGCTTTTTGAGTTGGCTGTGCTATGTTTATGTTTGTGAATTTTACCCAAGGGAATGCCTTTATTTATAGCTCTTCTCTTTTATGGACGAGTATTGCTTCAATTCGAATTTAATTTGCGAAAATCATGGCAAATACTACATATTAAAAGGTAATTAGCTCACGCTTGAAAAATTAAATTCTTAAAAGCACGGTTATATGTAATTAGTTTTCATTGCAACCTTTTTGCACTGGGCATTACAAATGTTAATTGCATTTGCTGCTGCGTTAATTATAAGTTAAAGCCCTATAAAAGTTAAAAGGTAACGAAAAATATTAACTCCACACCATGAAACTGTACATTGTATTTTGTGGTTTAAGCAGCTCAAGCCCAGCGAAAGTAAATAATTGATAAGTATTTCAAAGTTTCACTTATCAGTCTTAATTACAGGACTCGCCCTTGTTAAATACGCAACGCATCGAATTTCCCAAAAGTTTGGGAAAATTCGTTCGGTGAATCCAGCGCCACTTAATTGAATCAATTCGGTTTTCGGTGAACTAAGCTGAAGCTAAAAACCCGGAATAGAATTTAAGCCATTATTAAATTTCAATTATTGCTATTAAGGAATTAAATTCATTGTTTTAATACCTTAGGTAAGAATATTTAATGACTTAAATTTTCTGCAATATTTACCAACTATATTTGTTGTCATGCCTTCGGCAATATTAAACATCTAAGAAAAAAATAACAATAAATTTAACATTTGGGAGGCGAACATAAATTGTGTGCATATTAAAGTGCAAACTTTTCCAGTTATTCAAGCTTCTTCGTTGCACAATTTCTTCTTAATTGATTTGTGAACAAAGTTGTATCCACCCTTATCGAAAATTGACCCAAGGCATTTAAATTATTTTTGTTGATTTTCTTGGGGTCGCATGCAAATGACATCTTGATAGGACCGCAAGTATGTAGTTTTTCTTATGCTTAGATAACTCACAAAGTAATGAAAAGTGAGGTCAAAGAAATAATTAAAAAACATATAAGGCTGCCCAAGACAATCTATGCACTTGTTGAAGGGAATAATTACATTCCGCTCCATTGAAACTGATTTTTTCTGATTTAACTTATTTTTTTATAATGGTCTCCTTTTACTTTTTTATTTTCCCGCTTACAGGGCAACACCACAGGTCGGATGCAAAGTATGCTCCTCCATGAAGCAACAATTGAGATTCCGGATGACGGTAACAGGGCTGCCGATTTCGCTTTTTTCCCGTCAAATCGGTTGTTTTTGAAGGCTAGCGGCGGGAAAAATGTGTAACTTGGGGAAAGCGAAAATTATAGATTTTGTATGTTTTGTTTTCAGTTTTTTTTAGTGCTGTCGATATTAGCGTATATTACAAATATAGAATCTTTACAATAGTTACTTGCATACAAACCACTCTATTGTGTCTATTAATATTAGTTAATATCGTCGCTAGTTTATTGTGATATCATAAAGTTTTAATGTCAGTGAAAAGATATTCAGCACTCCTTTTCATTAAAAATACACATTTACATTTTCAACTATTAAGTGAAATTATTAAAAAATTGGATAGTATTTTTTTTTTAATTCCCTTAATTTTTTTTTAAGAGTGTTCTAAATTTTTTTCGGTTTTTTTTTAATATTTAAGTTATTTTTCTTTTTTTGTCCAGTCAAAAACAGTTTTTTTTCTAACAAAAGCTGGCAGCATTGACTAATAATGGTGGACCAACGGGCTTCTGACAGAGCCATTAGCGTTCAATTTCATTGTTGGTAGGTGAAAGCTAGCGAGCGGTCGCAATTAACTTGGACCAGGCAACAGAGCACGAGCAGCTCTTAATCCTGCGAACTTTATGTTTCATATTGCAAAGTTTGCTTTGAAAACTAGCATTTACCTCAAAAGCGGCAAATTGAAATTGTTTTCAAAAAAATCTTAATATTTTTACTCTGAACTCAAATTAATTTCAATTAAATTCAATCTAAGTGCAACATATAATTGAGAAAATTTTGGAATTTTAAATGCTTTAAATTTGACATTCCTTTTTTTATGGAAGCAAACAAAAAAAATATAAACATTTAAAAGGCTGGTCCATTTTTTCGCGATTTGGCAAGCACACAAGAAACAGCCTCAATGGTCCATTTTCCTCCGCCAAAAGCCATCAACATCAACAGCAAAGAAAAATTCATGATTTCGCTTGTTACTAGAAAGAGGATAAAAAAAGAAAGCTTAAATGGATTAAATTTCGTAGAAAACTGCTCTGAAAAAGCCTGGAAACACCCGAAGGCGTAACCTAAGACTGCATTCGATTCACAAAGTCTGAACAAAGTCAAAACTTCAATATAAATTTCAATTTTAAATTAAGTAATTTAACATCTTTCCATAACAGCTTTAGCACTATACTATGTTGTACTTATATTTTTGAATGAGCGTCGACATATGATATAGCCAAGAAACTTTTAACAACTAATGTCAAACGTCAACTATTGAGAAGCTCCGTCTTACTGAACAACAAGTTTTGTTGAGTAAGGATGCTGCGCGACTTCTGCCCCATTATTATTCAAACATTTATAGAAAAAGAAAATTGGCTTCGCAACTATACAATGAAAATAACGACTGGTTGCTGTTTTCTTGGAATACAATACCAGGTTCATTATAATTTAAACATTTTCCATACACAATACCATTTCCAAAAAAAAAAGAAATACTGATTATGTTGCAATCACTACCCTTTCTTCGTTCGACTTGAAGCTGTGGCAAGAATTCAATTTGTTTCTGCAGCAGGTGCTGGTTTCGATATAGAAACTCAATTTCTCCAATTTTGCATCTGTGTGCCACCTTGTGAATGCGGTTACCATAGTTCTGGGAAACTTTAATATTGTCCTTTCAGGTGCGGTTTAGGCACTGACAAAAATAGAGCCCCCCCTCTAGTGAACAGATGAACACAGCGTTCTGGTGACCTTTGCCAGTAAAACCGCAAGGCGAGTACAACGTGAATATTCATTTTATTTGAAATATGCATTTAATTTAGCTTAACATACCAAAAACACAGAACCAGTGCCGCTATCCGACCCAGTAAACCCGCCCAGACCAGTAATCTCGCCCCAAACGACACCGGAAAATTCACAGACACGTAGAGAAGGAGTTTTTTTGTTTTTTGGTTTGTATCCTTTTGTTTCGATGGGTGGCTAAGGGGAACTGGAATGCTTGGCATTCTCGATGGGACAACTACAACCGAAAAACGTATAAACCGAAACTCAAGCTCAAGCTCTGACCAGCAGCCACAACCGCAGCCCCACATCACATCGCTTCTACCACTAGATTGTGTATTGGCCGCATTTCGATTTATGGCCAGATCCGCATCACCACCAGCAGCATCAGCAGCATCGTCAGCGTCATCCGGAACCCCATCCAGTGCAGTTTGGCCAATCCTAGTCCGCCGACATCGTGGGCGCAGATGTTCTGCAGGACGGCACAATTCCTGAAATGCTTCTCGTCCGACAGCATTTTGGCCGTTTCGCGGGCAAACTCCGCCGAGTTCTTGTAGCACTTGTAGCGGGCACTGTTGTAGATGCAGTTCTCGTACGCGTAGCGGGCACTGTAAAAGTCCAACAACTTGATTAATATCGATTTCGGAAAATTGTCATTCGACACAGCAAAAGGGTGGTAAGCAAAAAGTCACAGGTGTTTCCGAGGAAAAAGTGTTCAATTTAAAAGCTCCAAAAATACCCTTATGACACCAGTCAACGTAAATAGGAATTTTTCACAGCCGTGTGCGCAATTTTAACTCGCAATAATTTCATAAAAAAACAATAAAGTCGGAGAAATCCTAAATCTCAAATTTTAAAAACACTTAAGCAAACAGCAAACTAAATCAAATAAAGTTAAATCACATACAAAATTTACTTTGACATAAGACAGTCAATTCTTCTAGTTTGCTGAACTAAGTCAAACCAATTTCCTAAAAACTTACTTAAGATGTTTGTTACTTGTTTTTTGGCGAGGACATTACTTTTAAAATATTGGTGTTCTAATTTTTTTCATGAAAGCCAATCTCAAGTCACTATATTCGAGGAATTGGTCTTAAAATAATAGTAATAATTATATTTTTCCATATGTACCAGCAAAATTCAAGGAATTTTTCGGTGGCGTTACGTCTCTCGTCGTGCACCTCCTCCATGAGAATGCCCTCGAAGTCGGCCGTGCAGGAGACCCAATCCATCTGGATGTACGCAAAGCAGTCCTTGTGCCGCAGGTAGTCTGTAAATAGTGAGAGGATGGCCTCAAATTCGTGTATAAATAATGCTTCTGCTGTTGCGGCTTGTGCACTTTGAAGCCTGTCAAGTTTGGGTCCTTTGTTTGGGTCTTATTTGGCGGTCTTCGCCCAGTAATGTCGGGGTACGTGTGTATGGTGAAATATGCATGTGT